CTTAGAGTGTCTCCTTTTGTTGTTGGACCCTTTCAGCTATCTTCTGTATTATCTTCTTGTCTATCATTTAATTTTTTTTCACCAAATTACAGCTGAGTGTCAGCACCGTAAGAATTAGTTAATGAAAGCAAGAGTGGATGTGATACAGGGCACGTATTTTCATAATTGCTCCAACCTACACTATAGGCTTTAACTACCAGTGAGGCTGACTGTGGATGAATTTCCCAGCCCCACAGAAGAGTCGTTAGGTGTGCTGTGTTACGTCAGCTGTACCTGCCTTGTGCCCTAAATATGCCCATTGTCTTCAGTTCAGATCGCTGCTCGTAATGCTGCTGGCCATGCTGTCAGCCAGCAGTTCTGCCTACGGGAAGGTGATACAGCCTGGACTCAAGATGGAGAGCCTCTTCAAGCAAGCATATGCTGGATGCCTGACCCCAAAAGACTCAAAATTCCCCCAAACCGTGAGAGTCAACATAAGCATCAGCAACACGAACAAGAACACCAAAACAACTCTTGATGTCAGCAGCCGTTCTCTGGCTCCGTGGGATTACAGGTATGATCTTGGTTCCTATGATCTGGAAATATGGTCAGGAATAACACTGAGGTTATGCCCATATCTTTTTTATCAGTGCTTCACTGTTGAGAGATTTTGGAAATATGAGGGTATCCACATTCCATATAATTCCCTTTGGAAGATAACTGATACAGAAAGGTGCACAGAGCAAAAGCGTGGTCTAGGCTAACCTACAGAATGCAAAGCAAATTACTTTTGTCATTTAATTATTTATTTGTGTTGGGGCAAAGCTTTATCTCCAAAAGCATCCTTTACCTAAGAGATCATCAAAAAAACCTTGGATGGGTAACATTGCACCAAATTCCATGATGGTTTAACGACCTGAACATCAGACCCTAAGAACGTTTCATGTTTTGGAGGAGAGCTGAAGGTCCTTGGGTCCATCCATCAGTCTGACATGTTGGGAAGTTCAGATGGTTTCTAATCAGTCTTTCAAAGTCAGTGCCTATTTGGAGTAGGTCCTTTGCAAAGACAGTTGCATGCAGTCCTGGCATGCTCCTCTTACACTTAAAACCCTGTAGTATTTATTTTAATTCTTAAAAACCTACAGTAGTAGGGTGTACTGCCTCTTTATAGGCATCTCCCAGGATGTACAGGTTCCCAAGCAGGGAGCTCATAGTGATCCAGACTATCATGACTCCAGAGAAGCATCAGCTTTTCCATTTCAAACATTTCCTTTTATGCCTATTTATAGGATCGATGAGGACCACAACCGTTTCCCCCAGGTCATTGCTGATGCCAAGTGCCGCCACTCCAGGTGTGTGAATTTGGATGGGCAGCTGGACCACAGCCTCAACTCCGTCCCCATCAAACAGGAGATCCTCGTGCTCCGGAGGGAGCGGAAGGGCTGCCAGCAATCCTACCGGTTAGAGAAGAAAATTATCACTGTGGGCTGCACGTGCGTCACCCCCTTGATCCGACACCAGGCTTAAAGGGAACCAGGAGTCTGAGAACAGGGAGCTGTGGAGAACAGCTTCCTTCTCTAACAGTGATGAAATGAAGGTCCCTGATTCAGTCTTTGCCAAACTGAATCAAGCCATAACGATTAGCTAGAAACTATCAGATATATTAAAAATTAAGAAGTCTCAGTTTAAAAAAGAAAAAAATTAATTCTTTTCCCCTGGAAACTTGGACTCTATGAATTCAGAATCTGGACACCTTCGTGTGCCAGGATGAAAAAGTAATAGGAACTCTTTACACATCTTTAATTTACACTCTGAAATGTCTATTTATGTAATTCTATTTATGCTGGTGGAAAAGTTAGTAATAATGTATCTGCTTATTTATCTATGTGTAAATAAAAAGAAATAAATAACTCTGTGATATTCTCCTTTCTTTCAAGAGAGGCTTATTTGCTAAGGCAAGAAATCACTCAATTCAATTATGACCATATGAGAGATTTGCCTGATGCTAAAACCTAAAATTCTTTTGATAACATCTAGTTCTGCTGAGAAGGAGTGTAAAGCCAATAAAAAAGTTATGGCTTGTATCTTTAACACTGTTTTACCAATAGATAAAGATACCTGGAGAAAAATGATTTACCAAGCAATACCCAATAGATTCACTTTAAAGACACACTAGCCAAAAAAAGCAGTGGGTAACTACCCAGTTATCCACCTAACTCTCTGATTGGAAAGGAATTTTTAAAGATAGGTTTAACGCAACACTTGGAATGATTCTTTGGAGGGGAAAACAACTCCCTTCCCTACAGTGGTGAGTGCGTTTCCACTGCTGAGTTTTAGCTTCAGTCCCACATTATCTGAATTTCAGTCCAACCCACTTCAACACATTTTCTGTGGTGTGGGGTCATCACCTGGGTACACAAGGAAAAGCACATGAGTGAGTCGGGTGGATAACTGAAGCAAGTAACCACATGTAGCGAACTGCACTCGTAATTTTCTCCATGCTCGTGTCCTTCCAATACGCTCACTGCCAGCAGTTAGTGTCTCAAATGTAGAGCACGCTGACACAGCACTCGTACCACGGTGGTGATGGGATTTGCGTAGGTGGATGCCTTGCGCTGCAGATGGGTTTATTTAAAGCACGCTTAGGTTAAAAGTGCTCAGATGAAAATGTTCCGTGTTTCGAAAGGCAGGCTGGTTTGCGAAGGTGCGGATGCTCTGTTTGCTGCCGTCTCAGGGAGGTGTGACCCTTCCCGGGTGCTGGCAAAGTGCCACCGGCAAATGCAACAACAAATACAGAATTTCTAGAGGTGCAGAAGTCAGGGATGCAAGTCCTTAATGAGAGGTGATGTCCTCTCAGGTGAAAGCATCTTCTCCAGATCCAGTTGTGCTAACTGGAGATGTGATCATCCCGACTTTTGCTGCTTGGGGTTATTCCCTGCAGCTGTGCAAGTGAGCCTAAACCCTCCCTAATCTACTCCAGGCAAAATCAGGTGAGTCAGACCGTAACCTAAACTCACAGCACAGCCACAGCTTTCACACAATCCCTTGACCTAGCAGATACACACTGGTCCAAGGAGACATTAA